GATTGGGGAGGGTGGGGGTGGTCGTTGAGTCTTGATTGGGGAGGGCAGGGTGAAGGGGGGAGAGGTGGACCTGTTGTGGCGGTATGCAAATTGTAGAGGGTCCAGTGAGTCGGGTAGTGCAGAGCAGATGAAGTCCCTGACCAGCTTCTCGAAGCATTTGCTTACGATGGGGGTCAGGGCTACAGGTCGCCAGTCGTTCAATGAGGAGATGGTGGAGGATTTGGGTACAGGGACGATGGTGGCCATTTTGAAGCAGGCTGGGACTACAGACAGAGAGAGGGAAAGGTTGAAGATGTGCGTGAACACTCCAGACAGCTGAGCCGCGCATGACTTGAGGACGCGGCCGGGAATCCCGTCCGGACCAGTAGCTTTGCGTGCGTTCACCTTCCTGAAGCACTTCCGCACATCCTCCTCAGACACAGTGTGCGCACTGACGTCATTTACCGCGTAATATTTTCTCTGAATGTGGGACGATTCCGTTTGTACGGGACGGCAACTCTACTAACTAACCTTATGAACATCCACCTGCTGGCCTCTGTGGAAGCTCCGCCACAGCCACCACCAAACAACTGAGTTATTTTGACACATCGGCCAGCATCTGGCCAATCCAACACCTTTCATTGTTTATACCGTTACTAAAAAAATGAAATAAATAATCATCGGCCGTAAAAACAAAAAATCACTGCCAGTCCAGCTGTGGTTACTAACAAGAAAATGCACTCGCGTTACTATTTTTCAACAAACAGACGGTTGAAGCTGTGTTCAGCTTATTGCATCTTATATCAGTTGCACGTGAGTAGCTGTAAGTAATCTGGACGCTACAGATTGCCCACGGACAGCAATCACTTTCTGGTAGACGATCAGTTTTTGGCACAACACCTGGAGCTCAGGGGGCAAAACAATGGCACGAGTGCTGCTGTTTGACTGAGGAAGAATAAAGTAGTCGTGGTAAGCCAATCACATGACCACTTCAAGATGACAAAGCAACAAGGTTTGTAAATTGTGCCACGTAAAACCAGAGTCATGATAAACAATATATACGCAGCGTTTTTCCCTCAATAGTTTCGTCACGTTTGCTGTCTAAGGACAGCGCAGCGAGACCTCTCTGCTTATGAGCAAAAAAAAACAAAAAACAAAACAAAAACACCCATTTTGTGTTGGTGGAAAAATGCACCATGTCAACCAATTAAAAAATGATATGGCAACATGACATTTGGTTGTTTAGGAAAAGGGAGATGTTTTAGGAGTGACAGAGAGAGAGAGAGAGATTTGTGACGTTTAGTGTGTTTGGAGTGTGTGGTTAGTGTGTTGTCTTGTGTAGTTAGTGTGTAGTGTTGTGGATAGTTTTGTGTTGTGTGTCAGAACAATGAGGCGACTGCTGTCTCCAGGTAGGAACAGGAGTGTCACACCTGCTGCTGTCAGACCTGCAGGTATCAGGCTGTGATGTTTCCTTTATAGTGGACAGAAATATTTGGCACAAATAATTTGTGTGACATCTTGTTGAAGAACAGCTGATTGTTCTGTAAATAGTTTGAAATGGTTATTTAAAAAATCAAGGTAAAATTAAATGGATGCAAATAACTTTGTTGTTTGCAAAACTTGTGCATAGGATTTTAAAATTGACAGTTTATATTTGCATTTAAAGTTATGAAATATGATCATTAAACATGTTTGTGGTTGTTACAGTTTTTTGTCTGATTTTGATCAGTTGTGTTAATACAGTTTGTCAAAATGAAAACATGACTGTAAATTCAGACACGTGAGGTTGTGCTGAAGAGAATGAGACCAAACAAGGCAAGTAAATAGTTTTTAAAGGTGAAATGTGGAGGAAACATCAAAAGTAGTTAAAAATGGATTATACCCTGGACCCCAGAGTGTTAAACATTTTTTAAAGTAACACAAAAGTTACTTTTCAAGTAATTAATTACTTTTAGAATCTAGTAACTCAGTTACTTTTTGAAGAAGTAACTAGTTACTATAATTAATTACTTTTTCATAGGAACTTGCCTGACACTGCTATCTACACACTCCAAACACACTAAACGTGACAAGTCTCTCACATCTCAAGACTCGCTGTCAACCTCTCTCCCTCCATTTTATCTCGGCTGTAACATCTGATGATGTCAAATGAGGACACGAGGATGCGTGGCACATTACATGTTGCACAACGTATTCGTGAGTTTCATATCAGATAAGAAAAATATTTTCAGAAACCGTTCAGATGCACTTTTATCATTTTGTCCTATAAATTTGTTCCATCATGTGACTCGGCTGTCATATAAACACGTCTGTGTTCTTATTTAGTCACAGATCAGATCATCACATCTGTCAGGACAGAAAGACTAGCAGCAGTAAAAAGTACTGCAGAGGCTCAGGTTCATGTTCAGCCCAGGCTCTGTGCTGCAGCTCAGCCCCTCTCTCTCCACTTTCTTTACTGTTTCAATGGTCTCTGTCCAAAAAACAAGAACAAAGAAATATCTGTGAAAAAGTAGAGTTCATAAACTCAAGTCATGAATGAATAAATAAATAAAATAAAATGCAAACATTTTATTTTGAAGGAAATTTAGTTTAATTTGTTGAATAAACCCAGAAAGTTGATTCTGTTTATCTGGACTTTGTGTTATCAGTTTTAATTCTAACTATGAACAAAATGTGGTTTAGCTTTTCCTGTCATGACGTCTGTACCTCCTGTTGAAAGCAGCTCACAGAGAGACAGAGACAGCGAAGCGACAGCAGCATCAGAATACAGAGGACCAACATTTACTTATGATTTACTGCAGAATCAGAATCAGCTTCACATAGAAAAGCTCCAGTTAACAGAGAAACACAGCGACTGAGTGACGGCTCTGCTGCACAGGAAACTGACACTGCTGAAAACTGAGCATCTTAAAATGTCTTCCATCATTGATGAGGATCCAGAGTTGAGCATGAATGTGAAATACAGCAAAGGAGAGGACAGAGGAGAGAGACTGGAGGGACTGGTCCTCCTCCATGAGAATGTGGACTCCTGCACAGACCGTCAGGTCCATGTTTCAACACAGGACGGAGGTAAGTATCAAATACTGAGGCATCAGGAATCAGGAGAGACTGTTTCCATCTTCTCAATAAAATATCAAACTAATACAGATCCATCAAAGCTTTTGGATCCAGAGACTCAGTTTATTCATGGTGTGGAGGAAAGTTCAAGCTTTGGTGAAGGTGTGCAGTCTCTGCTCTTATCATGGTTTATATGTTTCTATATTTTTTAATGTTTTCTGTTTATTTAGAGAATAAATGATAAAAAGTGTCTAGTTTAAAGTATCAGTGTGTTATTTTAGTAAGTGTAGAAACAAGCTGACAGAAAAGTGTTGGAGGAGTTATCTCACAGATCAGTGGTGAAGGCAGAAATATAAGAAACAAGGAAGTGTTGCTCGACACTGTGGAGCGAGTATAACCACAGAAACTACTCGAAGCACACTTGTCACAGCTAGTTTTAGCTGACAGGAAATCAGACCAATGAATAACAACTCTGTTTTCATTTCAGCAAATCATGGAGATATTGTTTTAATGACATAATATTCATGTTATAATAACCAACATTGTCTTCATGATCTGGTCTTTGTGTGAAACACGCTGATACACATTCGTCTGTTTCTGAGTCACATCAAAGCGTTTCTCTGTCAATCAGAGTCTCTGTTCTCACATATGTAAAAGTCACCTGAAGACAAACATGTGACAAAGTCTCCTGTAAATATCAAAACTGCTGGAATGAACTTGTTCAGCTCATCATCAGGTCGGCTGCAGGTGGAAAGTCTTTCTGACGATAAACCAATAAAATACGCTTGAAAAAATGGGAAACAAATTATGATTAAAACATGTTTAATAATTAAATTAACAAATTCTTTTCTCTCCATTTTGCCTTCGTAGAAATAAAATCCCAGAAGAAGCTTCCAGCTGTGAAAAGAAGCCGTTTCAGAGCTGTTGAAGTGAAGCTGGTGGTTCTGTATCTGCTGATTCTGGCTGGAATCACAACACGCTGTGAGGAGTTTTATTATCATGCTCATGATACACTCCCATGTTAAAATGAGCACCTTTGCTGCAGTAAAAACATGTTTCCCTTCAGGACCAAATGAGTTTTGGTCTCTAAGGATAGTTTCCTCTTCATAAAAACTGCACGGTGGCATTTTAAATGGAATTCTCTGATCAATAATATGAGCTGCTGTGTGGTACAGCCTGACCAACACGTTGGTTTTGCTGACTGAGCTTCTAGTATTTCACGAGTCTGTTACTTAGCACTGATTAGCAGGTGTGTGTCTGTGTGCATGATTCCTGGCTCATATCTTGTGTGTGTTGTGGAGTGAATGTTCTTGTTGTTCCTTCAAACTCTTCACTCAACACGCTGATTCTGTGATTACATCAACAAAGCAGACAGGCAGCAGCATCTGCTGCAGACTGATGCAGGTGCAGCCACACTATGTTAGACAGTGGCCGTCTGTCATTGTGCGACTAGTTAGTTCACTTGGTGTATTAAGCAGGTAGCTAACAAGCTAATGTTAGCTCCATTCATCTCATTGGAAAATGAAAAACTTTATTTAAATCATTTTAAATTTTAAATCTTCGGTTTTGTTGCATTTCTAACCAGATATTTTGGTGAGTTTGGAAAAAGAGCAGCTGAAGGACGAGATGGAAGGTAAGAAACTATTAAAAACTGTCAGAGTTGGAGACGGATTTGAAAGGTAACTGATTTTACATTTTGAATCAGCTTCTTGTGTTAAGATAAAAAAAAGAAACAAACCAAATGACAGCAGCTGACCTCCCAAACTAACATAAACAGGAGAAACTGTTCACAGTCAAGGGCAGCTCAGCCCTACAAACTCCTTCAGAGTAAAACAGGAAACACACAGTGAGAGCTGCACTTCCACAGGAAGTACCTGATCACATGGAAACACCTTTGATATGAGGAAGTGTTGATTCCCACGGCAGCTTGTCTGTTCTTTCAAAAACATGTGTTTGACTTTAAGAGAAGTGTCCTGATCGATGGATGAGATTTGGAAGCAGCTGTTACTTTAAATCCACTGAGGCAAAGCACTGGCAAGAGAGCAGGAGAGCCTGTCAGGATAAAGGAGCTGATCTGGTGATGATAAACAGCAAAGAGGAACAGGTGGGTGTGTTTGTTCATGTCTGTGTGATCTTTGATGGAGCTGACAGTGAGTTACAAAGTTCTTCATACTGTGAATTAAAGCCACACATTGATGATAAGTATACATGTGCAAACATACAGACACATAAACAAAGCAGCACATTCATTCCATCAGAAACACAACAGTTAGAAACTATGGAGGAAAATAAAGGGGAAAAGATTGAGGGAGAGCTAACCTGTAAAAATGAGTTTCAGCCGTTGACAGTCAGCTGACCTGATAGTCTGAGGAAGGCTGTTCCACAGTTTGGCTGCAACAAGCTCAAAAGCACGATGGCCTCTGGTGTTCAAATCAGAGCGAGGGACAGTTGGGAGACGCTGATTAGATGATCAGAGAGGCCGGCTGCAGTGATAAGGTCCAAGAAGCTCTGCTATATAAGCAGGGGCCTGTTCATGCACATCTTTATATGTTCATAACAGGATTTAAAAGAGGATTCTGAATTTCACTGTAAGCCAGTGAAGAGAAGCAAGAATAGGTGAGATATGAGACTGCAGGCCAGGTTTTGTTTGCAGCCTTGCTGCTGAGTTCTGCACTAACTGCAGACCAACTATGGAGGACTGAGAAATGCAGGTGAAAAGTGAATTACAATAATCAGGCAGGAGAAAGTATGAACTCAAAGTTCCAGATGATTGAATCACAGTAAAGATTTGATCTTTGCAATATTTCTGAGCTAAAGGAAACAAGACTGGCTGACCTTTGACATGTGAGGCTCAAAATGCAGCTGTTGGTTCAAAATGATCTTTAACAGGTGATTGGATGTTACTGGTGAGGGGGACGATGTACTGACTGACCTCCTCAGAGGAACTGAGCCAAACAGCACAACTTCAGTTTGAGATGAAGGAAGTTTTAAATCCATGAAATGATGACAGAGAAGCATTCACTGAGGCAGGAGAGGCTCGACAGAAAAGCATTAGTGTGTGTGTCATCTGCACAGCAGTGCTAGGAGATCCCATTAAAACCATTAAGCAGATGTCACAGGGGCAGCATTTATAAAGAGAACAGAACTGGTCCAAGGACTGAGGCATGTGGGACTCAGATGAGGACACACATTGATTAATATGAAGTATCTGTTTGATATTCAAAGATGGTCGCTCACAGTGGACATAGATGGCTTCTTTCACTCCTCTTTCAAACCATCTGTCCTCTCTGTCCAAAATGTGAACATATCCTTAAGATGCAGATGGACTGCTGAGTCTTGTCCTGTGGAGGTGGCTCTTCTGTGTTGTGCCATGCACTTGTGAAGTGGCTGTTTGGTCTCTCCAATGTAGAGGTCTGGACATTCCTCGCTGCACTGTACAGCATACACCACATTGTTAAGCTTGTGTTTAGGAGTTTTGTCTTTTGGGTGAACCAGTTTCTGTCTGAGTGTGTTGCTTGGTCTGAAGTACACTGTGATGTCGTGCTTGGAGAAAACTCTCCTGAGTTCCTCTGATACACCGGCTACATAGGGGATGACAATGTTGTTGCGTCTGTCCTTCTTATCCTCCCTCGCTGGTGTCTGGTCTTCTTTTCTTTGCCTCTTTGCTGACTTTAAGAACGCCCATTTAGGATAGCCGCACGTTTTGAGTGCTTCCTTTACATGTGTGTGTTCCTTCTTTTTTCCTTCAGGCTGTTCTGCCCGGTGGTGTAGGGTCCTGATTACTCCAAGTTTGTGTTCCAGAGGGTGATGGGAGTCAAAGAGGAGGTACTGGTCCGTGTGTGTGGGCTTCCGGTAAACTTCGATGTTGAGGTTGCCGTTCTCTTCAATGTGCACAACGCAGTCCAGGAAAGGCAAACAGTTGTCCTTTGTGTCTTCCCTGGTGAACTTGATGTTTTTATCCACAGCGTTAATGTGCGCAGTGAAGGATTCCACTTCTTGTGTCTTGATTTTGACCCAGGTATCGTCCACATATCTGTACCAGTGGCTGGGTACTCTTCCTTTGAAAGAGCCAAGAGCCTTTCTTGTGAAGTTGGTCCTTTCCTCCAAGGAGCTGTCTTCTTGTAGTCGTTTTCTGACAGTCTCCACGGACTCTGTGGTGGGTATGCAAGTGAAGAGAGAGACTACATCAAAGGACACCATGGTTTCATCTGGATCCAGGGTAAGTTTCTGTACCTTGTCGGTGAAGTCGGTGGAGTTCTTGATGTGGTGTGGGGTGTTCCCCACGAGAGGAGCAAGGATGGTAGCAAGGTGTTTAGCAATGTTATAAGTGGCTGAGTTTATGCTACTGACTATGGGTCTGAGTGGGACAGCTTCCTTGTGGATTTTAGGAAGTCCGTAGATGCAGGGTATGGCATCCCCTGGGTAAAGGCGGTGATATGTGAGGCGGTCAATAATTTTGTCCTTTTCAAAGTCTTGAAGGCAGGCTATAACTTTCTTTTTGTAGCTGCTTGTGGGGTCTCGCTTTAAGGCTTCGTAGGTATTGTTGTCACTGAGGAGAGTAGTGATCTTTGTGTGGTAATCTGTAGTGTTTAGGACCACGGTGCATCTTCCCTTATCAGCTGGTAAAACAGTGATGTTGTGGTCTTTGGTCACAATGAACCCACCCGAAACTCTGGCTGATTGGGGCCCACACCCAGTTCCACACCTTGGCTCAGGCGATTAGAGGATCATCAGGGGGTCCTTTTGTCCCTCTGTGGGGGGTCACTCCCACTAGGTTTATATCTGGGACTCTCCACCATTTGACCTTAGAACTGAAGAAGCTTCTCGGATGAGAGGTGAAACGTCTTCAAGTAACTTAAAGAAGTCCAGACGCTTTTCTTTGCAAGCTCCTTTGACTGTGTTAATAAGAGGAGCACCATCAACAGTATGAAGGCTGCAGAGAAGTCAAGCAGGACTCAAATGGAGTCTTTATCCCAGCGCAGAAGAATCTGGTTAGTAACTTTCATGAAAGCTGTTTCAGTGCTGTGGTTTGTCTGGAACCAGGTTGGAATTGATCAAAGATCTGAAGGAGCTGACGAGCAACTTGATTTAAAACAGTGGGATGTAAGGAGGGTTGATCCCACTCAGAAAGACTCTGGCTGTTTGAAAGTCAGCTGAAATGAAAGGGACTGGTTTCTAATAGAGAGAAGTCAGGGGGAGATGGCAGCAGGAAGGAGTTTGAACTCCAACAACAGAACTGGAGGAGAGACTTGGGGCGGTTGAAGAGGTACAGACTTGAACTCTGACCTGATACTGTTGATGTTGCCAGTGAAGAAATCTAAAAATGTCCACAGTCATTAGAAGACATGGGAGTGACAGCAGTTTGTCTCTGGGAAGACAACACTGACTGTAAGCCTGTCAAAGATGATACATCTGTGATTGGATAGTAGGTCAGACATGTGGAAGGTCAGCGTTATGTGTGGGGCCGACAACATGATGCACTACATGAAATGATGCTGCAGTGTTCATCAATTGTGTGGCAGTGTTGTTAGAGGGATCATCAATAAGTAAATTAGACTCATCTACTAAAATGACTTTATGAACAATAACCGATGAGAGAAAATTAGAGAATCCATTCAGGAAATGATTGCAGGATTTGGGAGGTGGATCGATTACAATACAGCAAACTGGAGATTCACATTGAATTATGAAGGAGAGGAATTCAAAGCAGTTAAAGAACCAGGATTAAATGGGAACCAGTTCAGATGATCCTTAGAAACCAAGTCAACACAAAACATTGAAATAACAGAAATGTTATAAAATGAGAGAAATCCTCATAATCCAGATTATTTTTCTGATTCAATCCAACTGAATCAAATGATTTGTTAACACTGATTCCACTGCAACACTGACTGAGCTACAGGAGGAGCTGATATTCATTGATTCTTTGGCTCTTTCTGATTTCTGCACAATGGAAGAAAAGTTTCATCACAGTTATTCTTCCTTCAGACATGTTCACAAGATGATGTCACTACAACAGAAGTGCTGAATTATGACTGGAGACAATATTTGTGTCTCTTCTCAAACAGGAATTTGTCAATGAACTGAACATGGTAGATTCCTGGATTGGTCTGAGAGCCAACCAGACATCAGGAGGATATAAATGGGAATGGGTGGACGGATCAGCGCTGACAGAAACGTGAGACATTAGTTTGTTTCTATTCCAGAGTTATTATTTAGAAGTGAAACATTGATGTTTTGGAAGATAGATCAGCAATACATGAGTTGAGCTATTTTCCAACAGCCCCACAAACTGAATGTAAAGAAAAGCAGAAATCCTCCTTTGAATGAACAGCTGTGCTTGAACTCTCTTCATCTGCAGTCTGTGATGACGTTCAGTTACAACAAGTCAGTTTGAAGGAATCAGGATTGAAACATGTTCAAAGCAGCGACCGACACATTTCACTTTGTTCAATTTGTCTTCATGTTTTTGTGCTGTAATGTTTCTTTTCTCACAGAACAAAAAGTGTTTCAGAGAATTCCTGTCTCTTCTTCTTTGGTGTTTGTAAAACTTCAGAACATATGAAGGAAGAAGCTTCAGTAAATATGACCTGATAGACACACATTTCAAAGTGATGTCTGTAAACAGCTGACAAAACAGTTTCAAACAGCAGAAAGTCAGCTCTGACTTCTTTTTATTCTCCATTTTTACAGCAGGAAGATTTCATATTCATCAAAGCTTGAAAGCTGTTTTAGTGTGCATGATGATTCTCAGAGAAAAGTCTAAAGGAGGGAAAGTGGGCGAGAAACCTGGGAAAGAAATACAGCAAATATTGGAAATATTCCAAAAGAGACGCATATTTATATGAATGTGACAATAGTTATGAGTTTAGTCCAGTTTCATATCAGATTTGATCTCTCTGACAGGTTCTGGGGAGAAGGATGGTCAGATCCTTATTCTGGTCACTATGCAGTCTGCTGTGACGGTGATGGGAGATGGACAAAGTCTTATTCTGATTCAAAGACCTTCATCTGTGAGAAATGAGTTTGGTGCTTTGATGTAAATGTTTGAATAATCCAACCAAAGACACCTCACTATGAAATGTCCTGCATGAGCCTCAGACTCAGCTTACAGTCTTTACTTGTTCATTCTGCATCATATATTGATTACATATATTGTCCCTCTGTGCTCTGTGCTGTACAGTAAGGTTGTGTCACAGTCCTGGGTCTCCTGACTCAGCGTTTTTAGTTCCTTGTGATTTTTGTATTATTGTACTTGTGAGTTATTCTATGGTTTCTAGTTTCGATCCCTTGTCCTTCATGTTTCTCTGTGTCCCCTCTGTTCTGTGTAAGTCTGTGTCTGCATGTTTGAGTTCCCCTCTGTGTCTTTCGGTTCTTAGAGTCCTGTGCCTTATGGTTATGTCTCCGTGTTTCTTAGTTGCTCTGTCTCCCCTAGTCTAGTTCGCGTCTCTGTGTCATACTTCCTGTTTTACTTTGAAGGTCTGTGTCTTATGTGAATGCGTCCTGCTTTGCTTGTCTCGTCAGTCCTGATTTCTCCCAGCTGTGCCCTCCTTCTGTGTCTCATTCCCCTCGTTACTTCCCAGTGTATTTAAACTAGAGATGGCACGATACCACTTTTTTATGTCCGATACCAATATCATAAATTTGGATATCTGCCGATACCGATATGAATCCGATATAGTGTTTTTTAATCAACAAAACTGTTTTTTAAATATTTTGCTGCATTTTGTATAAGTTCATACTCAAGTTTAAAACAACAACTACACTAAAGCTATTCTGTTATACCTGTATGCAAAAAAAAATATTTCATAGTTCAGCAATCAATTTAATAAACTTAAACCTACACCATCCTCCCTATTCTGGTATTTTAAAGAGTACTTAGAATAAATATTAAGCAACCTAACTAATAGGGTTCCAACTCCCAGCAACAACAAAAATAAATAAATAAAAAATAGGGAACCACCCCTCACGCTCCACCTCATGATGCTTAATCGACGTAATCAACCTTAATTTGATGCAGTGTGAAAAAAAAAATGCACAGAAATCAATTATTTTTCAAGAAATATTAAATAGATTCAACATCTTTCTTCAACAAAATTGCAGACTGCACAGATGGTACCTTCCCAAAGGAAAAAGTACTATAGCTTACTAGGGTGTATATATTAGACTTAATAGTCACTATATACAGTAATGGACTTCTATTCATTTTGCATCAAATTAAAACTTTGGGTGTCAGATAATTATTTATTAAAAGCTAGAGAATAAGAAAGAAAAGTATGTCTTTGTGCCCCCTTTTCTCTGTTAATGCCCTATCGGCCCCCCCGGCTAAACTTTGCTAGATCCGCCCCTGCACAGTTACCAGCGTCAGCTACGTAGAAAAGATCCTGGAGTAGAAAGTAATATTAAATAAATTCTAACAACAGCTGATCAAGCTTAAACGTGCTGCTGTTGTTCAGCCGCTGGTTTCCTCTTTCTGGTGCAAAGTGGACCAAAAACAAAGGAGAGACGATCAGCTGATCATTGATCAGTTTCATGATTGAAGTAGCAGCCGGAGAGCGAGAGAGAGAGAGAGAGAGGCAGTCACTCCATATATCGCTTGTTAAGCTTAACGCAGGAATGCTTTACAAACATTTAGAGATGGACTTACACACTTGCTTTACTTCTCTCGGGGATAACTTTGTCGGAGATGAAATGCCGGGTTGCTAGCGAAGCTCCAAATGCTATCCAGACCACCTACAGGTCCCGCATGCCACAGTCGCTCTATCACGTGATGCATACTGCTCCGACGTGCTAACGTTCTGAGGTGAGTTACGGCGTGTTGCAAGTTTTGCGAGGTGCTTTCGTGATATTTAATGGATCGGATTACATTTTTTATTTTTCTCCGATATCCGATCCAGTAATTTAGGTCAGTATCGGACCGATACGTAATATCGGATCGGTCCATCTCTAATTTAAACCCTGTGTTTCTCTGAGTCCGTGTCGCGTCGTCCCTCATGCTGTGTGGATCTCCCTGTGAGTTTTTAGTTCCCAGTTTAGATTAGTTTGTATGTTTTTTCCCTGCCAGCAAATAAAGCTGTGTTTTGAGTTCACCTCCCCGAGTCTGTGAGTCCTGCATTTTGGGTCCAACTCCTGCCTGCCGCACAGCGATTCATGACAGGTTGGAAGTCATCCACACAAAACCTTGAAGTACTTCATTACTCTGTAGTTCCAGCAAATTGTTCTAATAAAAGTCAAAGTGCAGCTTGTCTTTACTTTGCTTTACTCGGTTTATTCATCAGCCTGTTGGTCCTAAAACTACAGTTCTGGGTGTTTTTCAGGTTTTTCAACTTCAAATATTTTCATGATTTTTTACCCATTAAATTTTAGTTTAATGCTTTTTCATTATTTTTACAATATTCATTATATTTCCCAATATAATAAATATTGGAAGATAAGAGTCTAATCACCACCAGTGACCTCTGCCAAAGATTAATTCAAAGTTCAGCAACAAGATTGATTTGGTTGCATAAATATTTTGATGTCGTGTCAGATTTGAAATGTTTCACTCTTTAGACAAAATGCACATGAACAAAATCTGTAATCGTCTGCAACGTCCCAAACGTGTCAGCTCTAAACTGAAGATGTTTTGTGCATTTTAACATCGTTGTGCAACGTGTTGCTACATCTCTGGTCACAGGCTGCCGTGTAGGTCACAGCACGGGGTACAGGTCAGTGTAGATTTAACATAAACATATAAACGAAGGATGAGTGTGAACAAGTGTGACCTCCATGAAGAGAAAAACAAGACTCACCTCAATAATGAACGTGACGTCAGGATCCCACCTTGAGCTTTGTGTTAACAGGACTGTGGGCCCTCTGCCAGTAGGAGGCGCTACAAACTGACTGGTGCTTTGTTGTTGGAGCAGTCAGAGGTGGGGACGGGTGGACAGGCTGATCATTGGTCCCAGAATTGGTGTTATGGACATTTATGGGTCGTAAATGAACATTTGTCAGATCACATCTGCATATGTTCCTGGTCACCACAAGTTTTTCTTTCATTTAATGTAAATTGTCCCTTAAATATATTAAATATCATCTGCTGTGTAACAAACATAATGTGTGTAATTTTAAACTTCAACTCACCTGAAAGTTTCCAGTCAGCCTCCTGCTGTTGCAGCTCCAACAGGCTTCCTGCTCACTTCAAGTTTAATCAGACTTCAGTCCAGCAACACATTTACAACCAGCACACACACAGGCAGCACTGATGGTTGTACTTCAGTTTTATTGTTCTAATAAAAGTCAAAGTGCAGCTTGTCTTTACTTTGGTTTACTTGGTTCATTCATCAGCCTGTTGGTCCTAAAACTACAGTAAATGTCTTGTTTCTAAAAGTTCAGCAAAAAATATGTTTGATTAATAAGAATTTTAAAGGTTCTGATCAGCTGGAACATCAGAAGGACATTTTTAAACCTCTGTGTATGTGAAAGTGACAGAAAGACATCAAATGTTAATTGTGTTATGTGAGTCATGTATATTTAGTTTTGCATTTTATATGGAAGTTGTATTTAATTTTTGTATGATGGATTTGAAAAACAAATATTTCATATAAAGCTTTAAGTGTTGATGACTTTAATTACAGATAAAATAACTTACTCAGTAACTTATTGGTTGAATAGTAAAAGAGAGAAAACGGCTTCAGAGCTCTAAGTGTCGCTATATTAAAGGTTCAACATTTAACTTGGAGACACTTTGAAATATTTCAAAACATCAACAGAATATAAAGAAAACATCTCTGACGTCATGTTCAACACATCTACATATGAACTGAAGTTAGCATCCAGCTAATGTCAGCCTGTACGCTCATGTAATACCACTTTGTACCACAGGATGGTGCAGTGAGCCAGCATAGTCTGCACTGAGCTCACATTTGTATAGTTGTTGTTGCACTGCAGCATTAGGTCAGACCACAAGTGTGTTGTTCTTTTACAATAAACAGCAACAATCAGAAAGTGTGTTTGGATTGACAACAACTGTGATGACACATTATAACCTGTTATTAAAGTTCTGCCCCTGCTTTGATCAAATGTGGGTTACTGCTGGTTAGTTAGTGTGACTTCATACAAACCTGTGTGTTACACCAGTGGAAGAAGCTTTTCCTTCATCAGTCTTCTTGTTTCTTACTATAGGGGTGAACAGCTACACTAACACTCTCTGGCTCTATGCTGCCCC